GTACTGTCACTGGTGTTACCCCTGCGGAATTGTTCCTTCAATGGAAACCGAGAACTAAGTTGACAATGCTTAAACCCTGTTTATTGTCAGCCATTGATAAGAAGAGGGAGGCGCAGAAGGAAGCAGCCGATAACCATCGGGGAAGTTTCAGATCCTTTGTGGAGGGAGAAAAGGTGCTTGTGAAGTCAGTACGGCAGGAGATCATTTCTTGGATTCCTGGGAGAATTTTGGAGCGGAAAAGTCCGTCTACTTATGTGGTGAGCGTCCTGGGAGGTAAAATACGTTTCTGCCACGCTGATCATTTGAGATCTAGTAAGTTGACTGAGGAAGAGGAAGTTACAGTCAATAGGCCGGTAGTGCAATCTCCGATCAAATCCCCTGAGCACAAGTCTACTGTGGGAATACAAACTCCGCCAGAGCGATCACCTCGTGTTATGGAAACTCGGAATACATCACCAAGACAACAACGGAGTGTAGGCCTACCAAAATCTCCAGCTACGCACACTACAGACGAGCATCCCGAAGTGCAGCCCAGCCAGCAGTGCAGCCCGCCATCACTTCGGAGATCTCAAAGGACTGTGCAAAAGCCGAAGCGGCTCGACCTTTAAGTTAAAAGGCCGAGCTAGAGAGAGAAGATTTTAAGTTTATTTTATTGAAGAAGAAAAGTTTATTTTTAGTGTTTATTGAAATATTTTGTGAAGCTTATAAACAAACAAAAAAAAATGGTAAAAGAAGAAAAGAAAAAAATTGTTTATTTGGCTTAGCCTAGAAGAAAAAGGTTAGGCCGATAGAGAAGAGTTTTATTTTAAGTTTGGGCGAGTGTAATATATAAGGCTATATTACATTGCCAGAAGAATATTGAGTTTGTGTGTGTGGTTGGCTGCACTGCTGAGTGACGTCACCGACGAGGAACGATGGCACGAAGCGGAGTGAAACGGCAGTCGGAGTTAACATGCTATGTAGTAAGTTGTCCCTAGTATCGGGTTCTTTTAACTTATTAATTTACAAGTACAGTTATTACACGTACAAAAACACTTTGATATACTGAATTGTTTGTTTTTTTAAGCTCTTTAAGAAGGTTTAGAGAAAAATTGGGAAATTTTGTGTTTTGAGGGTAAGAAGTGAGAAAAACCAATTTTTACCCCATAAAACCCTGTTCCCATGGTCCGATCATGCTGGATCGCGAACTCATTCAAGTTTATCCTGCCTTACACCTTCAAACCAAATTTCATCAAAATCGGATAAAAATTACTCAAGTTATCGTGTTCACGGACACATATATATATATATAAATCTATATATATATATATATATATATATATATATATATATAAATTTGAACGAATGGTGTTTTTGGCCTCTGGGGACATTAAAATGAAAAAGTAAATCGGTCCCGGGCCTAAGTCTTACCATGAGACCTACGGTAATAGCTACTTCCCTATAGGGAAATTCGCTAATAAAACGACACAGCTTTCAGTTGATTGAATTGAATCTATAATCTATAATACGACCGATTTGAATTGTTATACATAAGACGTTGCGTAAGAGGGATAAAGGCCATCGTCCACGATGATTGGTTAGTGGATGTAACTCAAGAGTTTGTGTTTTAAGAAGCTTTGCCGAAGCTTTCAAGCTGATTGGTTCAACCCCCTCCCCCCCACCAAGGTTGCTACTGTCCTAGTCACTTTGGAAACGTGACGTCAGGGGGGGGGCTGGGAAAGTCAATCTTGGATAGAATACTTGGGAACAAACACTGTATGTAACACACAAATGTATCAACAGGTATAAGATTGTTATTAATATTTGGATAGCTTATTAATTCTTCATTAATAAATAAATAGGCCTACTGCTTATACTTAATCATGACTTAATACTCAATTTTGGGTCAATTAATAAACCTGAGCTTCGATTGTTGAGCAGTAATGAATTTGCCTATAATGAATGAAACGCCAAATTTAAAATAATTTAAGAAATATTTTATATTCAAATTTTGTTTAAGCAATCCTTAAACCTGGTGCAAATATTTACTGCTCTTTTTGTATTATTTTATACATTTTTTATTATAATTTCATTCACAATTACAATCCAGAAATACCAGAATAATCATAGGTTATAGATTACAGTATACCCTGTCACATTTATTTAATTAATTGACTATGCCAATGTCTGTAATACATGGATCAACGGCAATAAAGATTCTTGATTCCTGATTAACAAAACGTTCGAGAAAGGCCAAAGCCATTATGTCCCAGTTCCCGCCATGATTGCTTATAATGGCGGGAAGCACCAGCTGAGCGAATACAAACTTGACTACTTGTTATCTCATCGATCAATGTGGTTTCGTTAAAGTTATGCTTGTTACTTTAATTCGGGAATTTTTCTGTAAGCATAAGTATCATGTGAACTATACAAGGTTAAATAAACCGCAGTAAACATATTTTCAACGACCGTTTACCATTACAGTGTCAAATATACCCTGAAGAAGTGTGAATGTTTTTTACATAAGCATATACATAGATAGCAGGGCGTCATTAAAACACACTGTGCATGAGAGTTTGTCATATACAATTTTCGTAGTCTACTTGATGGTAACTTCAACAATAAATAGTTTGCAAAAAGATAATTTTTGCCAAAATAGACACTGTTTAATTGTATTTTAATTTATCTATTATATTAAAAAGCTCAATGTAGAAAATAGGGTTTATTGTTATTTAGTTTTTTTACACTGTACTGCGTATTTGTTGGCTTAGACTAAAAATATATTTGTAAATCGATTTTTAAAAACTATATTGGTTGTACTAGGTGAATATAAGTGCAGCGAAAATAATCAGTCAGTATAAAACATACTTTGTATACAAACAACATGTAACCACTACCTTTAAAAATACCATTCATAAAACGAATAAATATGTTACTTTACTTCATTTATTTGTGAAAATTTTAATATTTAAAATACTTGATGGATACAAAGTTAAAAATTTCAACTTATTTGGTTGAAAAAAGATATTTCCAACTAAAATCGTTACAGCATGACGTACAAGTCGAGTTAAAATATCGCAGTTGAACCATCCTATAACCAGTTATCCAATAGTTCTGCGATAACACTTCCAACTTGAGCTTTTCTCACCGAAACTTGTGGTGTTCTAGTGTTACACTTTTGGTGTACCATCGTTCAAACTTGTAGGATTCCTTCCAACTTTCGTTACTCAAAATCTCAACTTGTCTTGTTCGTTGATCGAGTTTAATTTGGATGAAAAATTCTTTAAAATATCAACACGACGATGATGATGCATAAAGAAGCGAAACATGTTGTGAGTTTCCCCACCACTTATTGAACTGTTGGAGTAACGTGTGTACCTATAATAGTCTAATTAAACAGTTCAGGGGGTTAAAAAGTTAATTTAAACTTAACTTTTGTTAAATAAATAAAAATGCCTTTTATTAGCAAGTGCTCCTCAGTACAAACTGTTTTACAGGATGACTCTTGTCAAGTAACTAATCCTAACTTAAAACTAAAGACAAAACAAAAATACTGATCCCCCTATTAACAAGATTTTAGCTATTTACAAAAATACATTTTCTTTAGCCTAGATCTAAAAGCTGGGACACCCAGCATCTTCAGGTCACAGGGGAGGTCATTGTACATTTTAGGCCCAAAGAACGAAAAACCTCTCTTTCCTACTTCCAACCTCACCTTCGGGAAATGAAGCTTTTTGTCTTGTCGGGTATTGCGCTGAGACACCCGATCGCGGGTGACCAGTCTTTCAATGAGGTACGCTGGTTCCTCTTCGGCCAGTACCCTGTGTACAGAGTGCAGGTTTGCCTCCTGCACACAGCAGTTAAGGACAAGAGGCCAGCAGTTCTTTCAAATTAAGAAATATGGTCTCGTTTCCGAAGACCATATACAAATCTCACTGCGGTGTTCTGCAGTCTTTGGAGCCTGTCCATGTCCTCCTTTGTGATACTATTGATACTTTTGTGTTACAAACAAAACTTTTTTACCATACGCAGGAGGAATAAACGTGAAAGATAAAGATTCCGTCTCTTATAAGATCAACAAAAGGAAGAATCGAGGAGAACAAACGCATTCAATCAAAACTGTTGACATGTTGATTCAGAAGACTGTTTGCGAATGATTTAGAGTTTTGAATCGAAAATGTTTATCTGACAAAATATTATGGAATTTTTAATTTTAAGCTATTAAATATTTTGAAAGTTCTCACTGAAGGAGAATTATTTAGTTTCCATATTATTAAATGCAGCCAACAGTAAAATTAAACATTTAAATTAAAAACACATAAAATTGTTTCATGAAATAAGTTGTTTTTGTTTTCCAAAAGAACAGTCGACACTGAAACCGACTTACTCGGGAAATGCGAACATAACGTTACATGGAGGCGAATTTTTACAGCAGATATTTTCTCTGACAGTATCTGAAAGGAGTCAGGGCGAAGAAAGGGAGGTTGAACAGTAAATCAAACCAAATGTGGTGATTTGGGACTGCGCCAGTCGCTTCAGCTACCTCCACGTCTTCTGTTACAGAGAATGTCATCAAGATGCTCGAAAATATTCTTTATCCGGAAAATGTATTGCATTTTCTTTTATTTTACTTGGTAATTTCTTCATGACTTTCCATTAACCAGTTTTAGGCGCAGCGACCTTTTAACTCCTTTTCAATGTACTTATCATTGGTACTGTCGTGATGGGTATTGAACAATACTTTTCCTCACGATAAAAAAAAACTACTTCATCAAACTTAAAAAAAAATTTCAGTTGTAACTTTGTTTATGTCAGGCAAAGTATTGTTTGTGTGGCGAAAGTAATGTTTATGTAGAGAAAGTAATGTTTCTGTAGCGAAAGTAAGGTTTATATCAGAAAAAGTCTGCTGATTACTATTTGTTTTTGGTGTATGGATATTGAAGATTTTCGAAGATCTCAGCTGTATGAAAATGGGCTATTTTCGAATACAGAGTGATGAAAAATATATTTTTTTGTTGCAGACTTTCTTGAAGAAAGACGAACTCTGCTGGAAAATGTCGGACCAGAGTTGCAAAATACTTACGACTCCACTGGTCTAGAGGTAGGTGGTCATGTTTACAACTATTTAGCATAGAAAGAATATTTTTACACGAGAGTAATGTTAATGTTTTCTACTGACGGTACAGATAACATGTTTGTTCAATAATTTGTGTATTATCATATCCTTTTTTACTTCTTGATCAGCATTGCACGTGCTATTAATTTGCCTGAAAGAGCTATAATACGGCAAATAACACTTGTAATTTGTACATTATTATCTCAATACCGTGTATTTACACTTATACTGTTTACTCACAAGACGGTAAATACGTATAAAATATAGTAAGTGGTGATTGATTTCGATTGGACACTCCAATCATCATAAGACATAATAGGCGAACGACATAGGTTCATATCTGCATATGCATATACTGTCTTGTGAGTCAACAGTATAAGTGTAAATATATTAGGTATTACAAGTGTTATTTGACGTATTTGTGTACTTTCAGGTATAATTTTTTGTGTAATATCCTTTTTCAAGTAATTCTAATTCGTACGAATCTTATTTAATCTCAAAAACGTAATAGCCTATTAGTTTTTGAATTTATTGGCAAGAAATAGTTGAATCATGAAAACCTCTCCTAATATATGATTTATTACAACTCTGTTTTAGCAACTATTAGTAACTTGTAAGGTGAATTGAGGAAAAATAAGCGAAGCATGAAACCCTTAAGAGCTTTTAATAATTATTTATCCGTTTAATTTGTCCATAGCATTTTTATTTTTTATTTGTTTGCAAAAAGAATTGAAAGCTCTTCCCTGGAAACATTTTTTCAAATATTTTTTGTCACTATTTGACATTTAAAGTTAATTTTGTTTAATTACTTTGATACGTTCTTGAACTAAATATCGATTTTGTGCTATTCATTTACCAATGCACACATACGCTTCAAGATATGATAGACAAGAAGATGGCATACTGCTATAATGAGTATAAACCTTCTTAACGAACTAATTACAGTCAATACTGTGTCGTATAATATGTATATTCTGTCTATTTCCTTCAATATGTCTTTCAAATTTAACCTACATACATTTAATTAATATTTAATGGAATCAAAACAAGCATGAGAGATATTCAGAAATATTATTACGTGTTGTATAAAGGTAGAATACGAATCTTTTAGCAAAGGATAATGTTAAGGGTAATGGATAGGTTGGTTTGGAAAGCAGCCAGAAGGGACAGGTTGGAATAATCTGGAGCTGCTCTTTAATGTTAGTTGTCACGGTAACAAACCGTTACCTACAAACGAATGTTCCTTTTAATTTAGAACGGCATACTTAGCTAATACTTTTGATGTCGTTGCAAATATAAACAGTTTTAGCATAGAAACAATGTCGGTGTAAAAGAAAAGATGTTTAGAATCTAAACTATTACCCGTGCAATATAAAGTTGGGTAGTTTTTAGGAAATAATCTAGGTATTAAAGATATAGCTGGGTTTTAAAAACCGTATGCCTTGCACGTTTGTTTTCTAATTCTATCATAAAAGGGTTGATAGTTATTTTAGTTATATTAATAATGTTTGGGATATAAATTGGCTACTGGACTACCTTAAGCCTAAAATTTGCATGTACCATGTCATTCATCAACATATTCACGATACTTTGGAGATTGATTCTAAAAGATACCAATTGAATACAGAATTGTGTTGGCACGACTCGTTTCTTAGGCGGTTCGTTACAGCTTTTTGTTTGAAATAAACAGTTATATATGTAACGTCAGTATGTAACCCAAACCTAATCATTATTGAAATTGGCAAAAATCTTAACCATAAACACGGTGTTTTATCACTTACAAATAAAAGCTTAACTATTTTATTCAGTCCAAATTTTATGTATTTTTAGTTTAGCCTGAAAGATATTTCGTGAAGACTATAATCATAGATATGCTAATCAGACTGTTACATTTATAAATTGCACCTAGAATAATGTCGGTGGCGACGTCCTGTAACCCAGCTACTAGGAGGTCACTAATTGTGGATATTTATAGGCATGCACTGTGGATGCGATACTCCCTGGTGTGGATTAACGTCCGCACTAGTGAGTACTACGACTATCCGCAGTACAATCCTGATAATTAGACCAATTCGTTAATACCAAGGCAAAAATGTGGTTCGGGTTCCACTAAAAACTGTAGGTCCCTTAGTTGCCATTGGCTATATGGGCTAATTAACAGCTGTGTCTAAGGAATATGTCGGCCTTAGTCAGTAACAAGACTACAAGATCGCGCCACTCATCCTACACTCATCTCTATACTTGGCTTTCAATACCTACTTTGTATGGTCACCATTTCACTGGACAATATTAATGTATTAAAGTATTGGGTGTATTTTTGCAGAATGAAAACTGATTAAAATACTCGAGGTAAAGCTCTATTTAACGTCCTACCAGCTGTTTCCCAACAATGCTCTTCTGCAGGTAATAGGTGATATTGTCTGGCAAAATGTCAGACGTATTGGAGGGGGGACGCTCGATATTCAACTAACTGCGTTTCCTCCGGAATCCTATTTCCTCTTCCTTTTTTGGCATTACCTTTGACACCTTTGACATCTTGCTTAAATGTTATGACTTCTCCGTCTCTGCTGCTTAGAGTCTATTCACTCGAGTGATGCAATTAGATCGGTAACGCTTTGAGCTGCGCTTGAATTAAGGCGTTTGGTGTTGATCTTGTTGATTTCTGTTGCATTTGAACAGGTTTCTAGTGAAATATTTGTATCTAGCTAGTTTTTAATGGTGATAAATCAATTTATTGCTATCCAGATTTGGTTGGACATATATTGTTTTTTATGAAACATTTAGTTAAGTATTCAACAAAAGCACACATATTAATTTCATTTTTATGGTATAGCCTCTGGATCACTGATTTTTACAATAAAAGGTTTAATTTACCTGTATCCGTCAGGTGATCCTGGTTTGTAGTTAATTGACTACAGCCGTTTCATGTTGTAAAAACAAATCTTCAGGTCAAACGTGTCCGATGCCTATCACGCGTTTTTCATATTTTTGTGTTGGCCAATTTATGTTTTAATGTTTTCGTGTACGTGTATGTGTCATTTTTGTGAACTTTAAACCTTGACGACCATTCCATGGATTAAATCATTGTATATACGTTTGACCTGAAGATGTGTTTTTACAACATGAAACGGCTGTAATCAATTAACTACAAACCAGGATCACTTGACGGATACAGGTAATTTAAACCTTTTATTATACATATTAATTTATTTAAGCTGGTGGTAGACTAAACCATACATGATAATCAACAATGACTTATTTTTGTCGATCCGAAAAATTTAGGCTACTTAAACAACCACACCTTAATCTAACAAAACTCATTTGCTAGAAAATTAACCAATAAAAACTTTTGAACTGTCGCAAAAGTACATGTGTATAGTGAAAGAAACCCCTTTTTAATCGGTTGAATGTAGGTGCTTAGTGCGGGTCACCTTAAAATTACTTTAACGCATTTCATATTTTTATGTTGTCCATAGATGGATTATATTGAATCCGAAACTAAGCCCTAGAGACGCTTTGAACGGGAATTGAAAAGAATTGTTTAAAGTGTGAACCTGCATACGAGTTTATAGCCTAAATAACTTTAACAATCAAATAATAAAATTATAAATAAAAATAAATTATTTATCCTTGATAATTTAGCAGCTAGTTTGTCAAATTAAAAATTATATCTGCTTAAAACCCAGCACACGACCAGCTATTTATTTCCAAAAGAAGGCCAATGAAGGAGAAGTAAACATCCCAAATTTGATATTCGTCCAACGCAAAGTAAAACTCAATTACGTGAACAACATCTTATAAGCTTCTCCACGTGGACGACCCGATGATATTTTTGGGTGAATTTCAAACAATAAGCCATAAATTAACCATAAAGAGTTGCTTGTCTTGATTAAAACTTTTCCTAAGTTTTACCAACCACAACTTTAAATTGCTTTCCTGCTGGACTCCTTCCAGTGATTTATACCGGTGTTCTTAACAGCTGTTTCCCCTTGTACTGCACATTACAGACATCCCTAAACACTTTGTTGGCTTTTGTGTAAGGTTAGTTTGGAAATAATGAAATTTTGCCAGTGTGCTGTGATTTGTCCACCCTCAATATGTTTTATGTGTACTGAATTAGCTGTTTATTTTGCTGTCCGTTAAAACACACATGTTCTACATTCTATTTAACTCTTTAAAATACTATTAGATTTTTCAAACATTTTGATAACTTGCTTAAAATTTTATTATAGCTATTTATAAAATGCGTTTTCCTATACTAAGAACGTCGATTGGGGGTTGAACCCTAGGATGATCGCAGTTTTATGTGAACTCAAAATCACTACCAATGGAATTGTCGTGTGAATAAAATACGTAGATTATTTGGTGGGATTTGGCCTTGGGGATGAAAGTACTGAAGTATAGTGTTTAAACAGTCTCGTTTGGATTGCATTTGGATTTTCCGTCGAATATTCATATGGGTTACACATGCAGCTGCAAAACCCCCTCCGTAACTACAATCAGAAATGAAATAGAATATAGATAAATTAATGTTTATTTTCATACTAGTTGCTTTCTGTAAAATCACTGACTTACTAAAATTCCTTTTTGTCTATGATAATACACATCCAGATCAGCTGTAGCAAGTATAAATAAAACGCCATTGAATGAGTCTGTTATAGATTTGAATACTATTGAAAATCTATTTTTCGTTTGGGATTTCATACTAAGATGACAGAGATGTAAAAGTTGAACAAGCTGTGCATTCAGTTTGCAATCGCTAATAAGTTTGGGTGTGAGGAAAGTTATGTTTTACAGCTCTATGTCTTCAGCTCATTTCAACTAAGTTCTTTTTCATTGAAACGCACAGAACAAGAACAGAATCCTGTACTTTTACACGTTCACTACATTAGATACATCTGTATTACCTTAGCTAACAGCATAACTACGTATATCGACTTTTTACACCCCACTGTGTAAGTAAAACCTAATTTTCACAATCGTCT